ATAGATCGGAGTCCTGTCCGCGCGCGCCCGCCGTCGAGAGCGAAATTTCACGTCGACCAATTTCACGAGAATCTCGCGTATGCGGCGGAAAATCAATCCAACCGTGATTAAAACAGTGAGATAGCTCGTAGAAAATCTTGACAAGTTGACGAGCAAATTTTTTAATCGCGGGATTACACGACCAACTTTTAATAAACATATTTTGTTAATAGCGCAAATTTTGAATGTTTTTGCTATTGATTAACTATTAGACGGTTGGTCGAATTATCTCAGGAAATAACGAGAAAAATATTTAAAATATAATGAATTTTAAAAATATGAAATTTATATAAGAGCTTTTTTTTTTAACAAAAATAAATTATTTCAATGATAAGTATATTTTCTTCAATATAACTTGGACGAGTCATTCGAGACAACAACAAATTCTTCAGGAACTGTCAGGAAACATCTTGAATGTAATTTGTTTTGCCGCACAGCCAAGTCAGGTGAAATTACTGTTTCGCCAATTGCATAAAATAAAATGCGCTCGCGATGCTTGACAACGTAGACTAATACAATCTCGTGGAAACCGCCGAGGCAAAGAAAACGAATAACGGTTGCAACTCGCGCGCGGCGGTCTATCATTACTTAATCAGCGATCTGCTCCAGTTTTACTCTGACAATGCGGCTGTGGCTTTAACGTCGGCAGATCGAACACGGCAGCGTGAAACAAGAATACTCGGTCGCAGACGGATAATTTCATGCACCGAGTAGCGCGGTAGCTAAATAACTCGAGAATCCCGGCGGTTCTAAACGAATTGTTCGCCGAGCGTTGTAAATCAAGAAGGAGCACACGCCGGAGCGTGTTATTATTGCCCGCTCGTTGAAAAGGCAGAAACTAACGGGCGTGACGTAATGCCAGGAAACGATCGAAGGAGCGAGCGAAATGTTAATTGCGCGACAATATACCGCATTGATGCTTTCGTATAAGCGCCGTTGTGTCGCGCCTGCGATCGTGTCGTAAAAATTCTCTGTCGAATCCCATTAACGATCGAGAGGTATAATTAATGATCGCTCGCAGGATCGGATGCCGATCCTTTCGCAGACCCATTGAAGCTGCCCCATTCCTCACGAACCTTCCAAACGGAAGGTCATGGGAAAGAAATATTAATACTTTTTTTATATTTACGCAATTTTTTTTACCTCTGAGAAAAATCGACGAGGTAAATGGTAAACGTGAAAAGCACGTTCTGGATTTATGTTTCATTAGCCGCCGCTGACGGAGAACGCCGATCCTGTTCGTTCATTATTATACACGCGAGAGTACCTACACACGGACGCAAAATCGATACGTACTGCGGCGTGCATATATATATATATATATACACGTGCGTACCGAGAGACCGGAGAGGGCGGCGATTACGCAACGTGAAAGTCATCGACTGGAATTCACTCTTACCTCGCGCTCGCCCTGACCTCCGGTATAATGAGGGCGATTCGAATTAATCTGGTTCGACACGTATTTGGCAATGGGCCCGTAGCCGCCTTAATGACCATCGTGTTACGCTTTTTTCTCTTCCCAAGATTAGCATATACGCGTACACGAGCACACGCCCACTTACGCAATGCAGACTAGATGATTCGACGTTACGCGCCACTAAAAAAAAAAAAAAAGATCGATCGAGCGATAATATCGCCGGGGTTATGAGCCATACATCACATTTCCTATACGAAACGAGATTTCGAGTCGGGTATGTGATAAAAGCAATGAATATTTAATCGAAGCGAGTCGTGTGAAAGCGCGTCGCACATATAAGTTGATCAATCAATCTTGCTGAATATATCTATTATATATTGGCAATGTCAATGTCTCATTTGTAATCGAAATCTTGTAACTTGGGGTTTTTTTTTTTTTTTTTTATTGCCGGTAGGCGTATAGATTCTTCGTCGCGCGATTTCTTTCTGCGTGTAACATCCTTGACGTTTTTTTCTTTTTCTTTTCCATTCGATGAATACTTTGGTTGCAACGTAAAATCCAACGCTCCGATATCGTCGGAAAATAAAAATTGCGTTTAGCAAAGTTATATCAAACCGCAGACAATTAAGCTGTACCTCTATCAAGATTACATCCAACGAAGTCTCTCGCGATCGTCGATTCAATAACCGGACTTGTATCCCGATAGCGCGACGTGTTTGAGTAACGGTTCGTATCGAGCCATGAAGTTTCCTACAGCCATTTGTATCGTATACCGTAAATGATCGTGTAATTGCGACCGCGTGGTCGCAAGTTTTTCGTATTTAATGTTTTTCTTTTTATTTATGAGATAGAGACTTGACAAGAGGTAACAGAAGAACTCTCTTTCCCCCCGTCTGTTTTCGTGTGACAATTTGAAATATAGCGCGTTAAAAAATTTCAAATTCGACACTCCTATGCATCCTCGGCGTGAAAAGAAAATAAATCAAGAGAAAGAGAGAAATCGTTCGACGAGGAGGGTAAAGAGAGAAATGTGGAGAACTGTAACTTATGTGTTGCCAATAAAATAATTTGTCGTTGTGCGACGCGAATCAAAATCGAACGCGATTTATTATCCGATATCGGATCCCGATGCCGTAACGGACGTTTTAAAGGGATGAAATGTGTAACAAGAGGCGAAATCGAGGGCGAGATCGATCTCAGTCAAGGCGAACACGAGCTCACCGATCAATGAACCGGCTCTATCGATGAGAGTCACAATACGATCGCGATCGATTTCCTAGTCTCGTAGTTGCAACAGACGATAGATCTCGCGAGAAAGTTTCTTCGTATCGTATTTGTAGAGCTGCGCTTTTTTTTACAGAAGTAAGCCGTGAAACGCACCTTTTACCGCTGTGCGTTTTCTCATCATCATGTGTTTGCGCGCCTCGCGGCAAAAACACACGCGCAACGCGATCGTAAATCGCGCGCAACTATCGCAAGTGCGTGTATGTGTGTGTGTGTGTGTGTGTGATGCTCGCATATAAACGATCTGACAGTCACATCGGCAAAAGAATTTGACAATAATCCGCCGTAATCGTCGTAATATATCTAACAGAAATATTCGTGCTAATAAGCGTTTTGTCGGACAGTTCGGCTCGTCGTTTATGGCTCGAGATACTTTCTCTTCATTCAGAACTGGTTACGTTCAATTAATCGGAAATCCGCGTCTCGCGCACTTCCTTCATTTATAACATATTATATCACGTATTTGTAACAGTCAGCTTTTATTCCGAAGTTATTGTAGCTTGAAAGGAACGAGTTAAGAGAGAGAGAGAAAGAGAAAAAGAAAGGGAGAGAGAGAGAGAGACTTGTATGTCTCTCCGCGCGTCTTAAATACGAAGGTTTTTATTGCCGCGATATGCGCGCGAGTGCAATCACGTTTAATGTCTACGAAATCTCTGTCCCGGCGACGTTACAGAAGACGTTATGAAAAAGGCAAGGACCCCTAATTAGGCGTGTCTGAATTTATTGCGCGCCGTTACGTCGTGGCGCGCGTTTATCTCGATCCCTTCCGAAAAGGCATTACAATTTAATCTGGCTATCGCGCGCCGTTGATGGCCGATTAACGATAAATCCGAAATTGCCTGTAAACGTCCGACGTGCCGATAGCAGATAAAACATCCGTTAATATTCGTTCGCAGAAAGGACATTTCGCGGAAGGGACGCGGTGGTAACGTCGTCCCCGGCGATTCGTGCTACAAGGCCCGCTGTAAATCAATTCAAAATGGCGGAAACGCGATTTATAAATCGCTTGCGAAACGATTCGACGATTTACACGCTCGTATTGTAAATATCGTAGCGCGGAGCGAGCATACACACGCACACACACGCACACACATACATAGACACACAGACGCGTATGTTTATATTCAGCCATAAATTTTTGCGCGCGATTACTTCTGCGCCGAGCCGCAGAATCGACGACGACGGATCACCGATTTAATCTGAGTTCGCGCGAATCCTCTTGAAAATAACGGTTGAGAATCCCCGCGGATTCGATCAGCCCGATATGGCAGTCTGTAGAAAACTCGTACACAGTTACAGACTCAATCGATAATATTACCCGTGATTGCGCTTTCTCTAATATGGAAAATTAATTGAAATCTTTTTTCCCCGATAGCACCAGTAACGAACGCTATTAACTCCGCTTCGCACAAAGAGTGTCATCGGACACGTCAAATAAGATATAAATCCCATCATAAAGAATTAGAGAAAAAGAGGAACGTCGCGCACGCGCGCGCAAGTAGATGATAATGGTTTTAGCGAAAATCTCTCTCTCGCAGGCGGGCGCGGTACGTAACTCGATCAGCGTTATACGGCGACGTAAATTGCCTTTATATGAAACTGGGTCTTAGAATCTCGTTAAGCCGAGCTGTAAACGTCGAAGTTTATTTCAAGGCGTGGAGAGTGCGCGCGCGCTCGCATTGACAAAGTGGGTCGAATTGACATTGTGATTTCGCAAAAGATTATTAGTTGGTTTTAATGGCGCGGCCTTTCTCGAACGTGAGGTTTGTAAAACCAGTCGGTCCGGCGCGGCGGCGTTTTTCTCGGTCCGCTACAGCGCGCGAAAGCGCGCGCCTCAAAGTGGAACGAGTTTTCACGGCGTGCGTGCGTGCGTGCGTGCGCAGCAACGGTAACGTTTGTCAAGTTTCGCGCGGCGAATGAAGCCGAGGAGCGGTAGAGTACAACGAACGCGTTAGACGAATGACGTTGCACACACACGGTTGCCGACACACGTGTGCACATCTTCTCTCGTGACTCTTCGCGAGAAAGTGAAATCCGACGATTCAATGAAATGTCACGTGCTTCACGATAAAAAAGAGGGTGTGCTTTTGTTTTTCTTTGTTAGAAGGTATAACAAAAAATCTTACAAAGCATCCTTTATTTTAAATTTCTCGCTTCTTTGTGAACAAAAAGATTGTCGTAGAAGCGCACGGGAGAAGAAATGTATTACGCTCTTGCATCTTGAAGTTACATTAACGCTTGTGTAACGTTGCCATTGCAGGCTGGTTCTCGGTGGTCTCCAACAACAGCGGCACCGGAAACGCCAGAGTGTACAGAAGAGTCGGCGCGTTGGTGCGCGCCGGAGTGCCGGCGTTTCTGCTCGCGAAACCATTGAGAGCTTACACATTGACGCACTCCAAAATGGGTAAGGACATTTATCAATTATATTTATCTCTTTATAAATTGCGTATTTTGTTTGTAAATCGCGTAGGACTACGTTTTTAATTTTATAAAATGTGTTTGTGACAGAGTTCGCGCAGTTTACATCGCGTTACAACACTCGTCGCTGACGTAAATTGTCGACCACATGTTGCGAGGACATAGCATATTTATTTAATTTGGCAATAATTTATAACTAGAGTTTACTACAAATTTACATAAAAATTCTCTTTTCTTGCGCGCACGTCTCTCTCTTTCTCTCTTTTTTTCTCTCTCTCTCTTTCTCTCTCTCTCGGTGAGCTAACCGGACAGAGATTACTCACATATCTCGCATCACATCTGGCATTCGTCGAGTTTATTATCCTGGCCAACCCAGGTCCGCATTTTCCACGGGCCAACTGTCGCGGCTGCGGTTATCACCCGCTGCGATCTGCCTGTGGAAATGCGACCCCTCGACGAGCCACAAACCGCGATTCGCGTAACTCGCTTGTTAAACAATCCGCACATTTTGTTTCCAAAACTGAAAACTACTCGTCGTGTGTTCTTCGACATTCGAGCGAACGGACGAAACGTCAAGTTTTGACGCGAATAAACAGAATTACAAACATAATCCAACTCTGTATCTCTTGTTTTTGATTAATGACGGTGTGAAAACAAACAATCGCGCGCGTTTCGATTTTCCGCGAGCCGGACTATATTGTTCGCGCACGCGAGGAATGTGACGCGTACAAATTCTACGGAGCAGTGTGTATTCCGGTAAGTGCCCGCACACATCCCGATATCATTTTCCCCGAGTGCAGCGACTGGCCGTGACACGAATGTCAATGTGTCCGTAATGCGTGCGGCGTACGTATATATACGTTCGCCGCGTCGCCGCGCTTTAAACGTAGGCGAGCCTTACGTTCGCGACAAGCGCGTAACGTAATAGGCACGCGGCCCCCGGTGAAAGCCGTCCTTACGACGCGCGTGTATAAGCGGTTAATATATATACATGTATATAATATCCATATATAATATAAGTATGTGCCGGCTTTTGCGCCGCGAGCATTATGCCATTATATGCGCCGCTGTAACGATTACGATCGCGACAGAAGAGACGGAAATTCCTAGGTGTATCCTTCTTGGCCTCCTCCTGGACTACGAGTGGGTCCGCTTAGGTCCCGTAAGTCCACCGCGGGAGTCCGTTATGCGGTGCGTTCATTGTCGTTAATTGCTCCGTCTTTTCATACGAGTCAACGCGAAACGTCTCCGCAACGGTACACGATCGATAATAAATGCGTTATCGATTCGCGTAAAACACTCACTTGGTACACAGTGTTTCTCAAACAGAGCGCAATTCAACGAATCGGATTTCTGCCGCGCGTATAGTCGCGTTATATAGCGAAAAACATTGTCGAGTAAAATTGAAGTCTCTTAAATGTGTTTATTTTAACGCATGATGTATCGGTTAAATGAGGTATTGCAGTTGTTATTTCTCGGCGTTATTAGCGCGTTACATGACGTTGTTCGCCATGTGAAAAACATAGATGAGTTAACGCTAATGAGCTAATTAGCCATATGTAAGTTACCGACTCGTTCGCGCAGCGCCTCTTTCGCAACGGGAAAGCCTTTTTTTTTCTTTTTTTTTCATCCGACGCCAGTTAATTGTGAGAAATCGACATTATCTTCCTCGAGCCTCGGCAACTTCTGATTAAACGCCGCCGTAAACTGTTTTCCGCAAACATCGCTTAGAGTTAAATCGAGATTAACTCTCTGCTTCCTTGCGACTTCCTATAAGAAAAAAAAAACCTAACTCGTGTTAATTTCCTCTTACGTTATGTCTGTCGCGAGAATGATGTTACGTAACTAAATTCTCCGGTGATATTCTGTTTCGCAGAGAACGGGAACTTGAGGGCCCACTACACGAAGACGACGGTGCGCGCCGGCGAGGTCCTGCGGCTGACCGCCGTCTTTCAGGACACTCGTCGGGCCCCGGTCTCCGGCAACGTGTCCGGTATGGTCCCGGAGGGCAAATGCTCGAGATCCTCGGAGAGGGATCAGTACGCCCAGTGCCTGGACTCTCATGGGCACGAGCTGTTCGCGCCGCTCTCGGCCAGGGGCGAGTTCTACGCGACTTGTCAGAGCGGCAGTCTCGACACTGGCAGCGACGCGGTACTCTACAGGGTTCACCAGCTCGCCAGGAGGGATCTTCCCCTGAGGGTAAGCTTCATCGCGCAACGTCTCAAGATTAATGTCATATAGCGCGTCTAATCTATTCCTCATCAGCCACTTCTCGTTGCGCTCGTAATACTGACACGCGCCCGTGTTGTAATCATTTTATAGAATAATGATGACAAAAAAATTGTCAAGAAAAATAATTAATCTATATTAATTTAAATCTTGTAATTTAATTGATATTTACAAGTTAAGTATTTTGTTTTTTTCTCTCTATAGCTGATATGATGTCTGTTGTTAATTTCTTTTTAAAAAATCGCGTATTTTTTACATTAACTATTCACGTTGTACATGTCGTGCTGTTTTCATATTCTAATCACATTGCATTTGCATTCATATTGCCCATTTCCATTTTACAACTTCCTCGACCAACGATCTCCAGGTGCGTCTAGTCGCCGGACCTCTGCCCATACCATTGCCGCGAGATTACAGTGGCCTGATGCAGCTGGAGAACGCGACCAGAGGACCCATAGTTCTCGGCTGCGCGGTGCCTCTGCTGCCCGAGAGACCTATGCCCAATACCACGGTGCCGGAACTCCTGGAGCTCGTCGCCACCGGTCCAACCGCTCCTCGGGTGAAAAGAGCACGACTGGGATGTCCTTCGGAGGCGCGGTTGCTCGCATCGCCGAAGATGCAGCGATTGCTCTCGGCTTGCAGGTAAGAATCACAATTGCATTGAACATAGTGTTGATTACGCTCGTTCAAATCGCGCGCGCGATTCTTGTATTTCTTTAGCATGTGACATTCGAACACGTAATAAAAATATTACACGGAATATTCGGGAAAACAAGTGTAAAACGTCCGCGGTAAGAATGTTAACAGAAAGTAAAACTCAAAAAATAGTAACGTGCGAAGCGTCCGATTGTAAAAAATGCGATCGAGAATTTTTTGTTCTTATTGTCGCGCGAAAGAGATAAGATAACGGGAACTATCATCATATATCGCCTTTGATGCCGCTTTGTAGAAGAGCCTTAGACCAGCGGGCGACCGAGCCGCGAGTCGCTCCGCCGAAACCAGCGTCCAACAACGGCCAGCTGAAGGAGCTGCACTTGAAGGAGATCAAGACGAAACCTGAGGCGAAACCGATACTGCAGAGTCTGAAGGAAGGTCTGGAGCACATCAAGAAAACGACGATTCGTGATCGGAGCAACAGCCGCAGCAGCAGTAATAACAACCACAGCTTCCTCGACAGGATTTCGAGGATAGCGCAGGGTGGCAGAAGCAGAAACCCGGCGAAGAAGTCCGCGTCCTTCACGTTCGCCGTACGACCGGAGATCGGGATGCGATCGCCGGAGAGATACGCCAGTTTGGAATCGGAAACGAATCTGACGCATGCGTCGCAGGCGTCCAGGCAGCAGGTTCAGCGTTCGATCTCGACGAGCGTACTCGAGGTGCACACCAACAGTCCGGATTTGGATCCGCCGTATTCTAAAGTAAGAGACAGCCTGACGCCATTGCCTCCCACGCCGCCGCCGAGATTGGAAGAGATCTACGCCGAAATCTGCGAACTCGGCAGCAGTCCGTTGAGAGACTCGCCGTCAAAAGAAGAGAAACCACCTCCCGTGGGAAGAAACGGTACCAAAGAGCAAGATCGGGATTACGTGAAGCTCGCGTTGTCCCATCCCGAGGTGTTCGAGGTCTCGACTAGCGTCAGCGACGACGAGGAGAGCATTTATAACACCGTGTGCTGAATGCGCGCGCCTTCTTCCGTCGGAATAAAACCAACATCCGCGGGGAATCGTTCGCGACTCGCCGTAACTGACTTCAGGGTCGACCGGAACAAATGGCGTGACGGGTGAGGAGTCGAGAGGTCGCGGGAACTCGTCGGCTCGGCTGCGGATATATCGATGAACGTTCGTTCGCAGGTGAGGTGCGAGAGTTATTGGCGAGTTTAAAGATCGTTTAGAAATCGTTTAACGTTCGAGAACGGTCGAGAGATCGGTTTTGACGATATAAAAAACAGAGGAAAAAATCACATCTTTGTTAAAAATGCAATTTTTATTTAAAAAAAAAAAAAAAAAACACTTGCTCTATTATCGTGTGTAAAATTGCTCTTCTCTATAACTCACCGATGTAAACTACCGATTCTCAATCGTTCTAAGAATATTACGCGCTTTCCGGGTCGGGGAAGAAACGCGAAGAGACGAAAAAAAAGGGGCGACGTATATCGATCGCGAGTTGACGAGAATCGGAATTTACGGCTCTCGCGGCCGTTAGTTTCTTTCGCCGCGGGAGAATCCTCCCGGCGTCGCGGAGTCGGCGACGCGAACGTCCACCACGGGGGTTTCGCGCCGATCCGCGAGTTCGCGCGCGCGCGCACGGAATGATTTACAAGGCTGTTGACCGAGGAAAATGATCCCGTAATTACGGACCCCGGTACATGCTGCTGCAGCGGATGTTAGCGGGGCACGCTGGCCGGTGATAGCACGCAGCAGCACTTCTTCGCGGCTTCCGTCATTAGAGAATCTGTCGTCTCGCGGGAGGCGTGTTTAATAGTAGCGGGTACCGCGATTACCTCGGCCATGGCCGTTGAGTGACATTGATGTCGGAAAAAACGCACTCGCTCGGAAGATCGGCTCTCGGAAAATATCGGCTAGCTAGAATCTGCCGTTAGAAAAATTATGAATAGATTCTAATGATGTTAAATAACACATTAACAGATTGGTTTTTTTTTTTTTTATTATATTTACACATTTTGAAAAATTTTAATTTTAAGTATTTTAAAAGTTGATTTTAAACATATTGAAAATCTAAACATCTTAAACGTAGTTTTAGATGCGAATAATTCATATTTACGGAATTAAATTTAGTTCTTTTCATTTCCGTATAAATGACGCAAGAGCGCGGGAGAAACTTTCTGATTGAGCGCGCGATAACGATTTATATATATGGCCATATTACGGAGTCGTACGAAAGTAACACATAAAGCAGATCGTTGCAGCGTCGATCTAAAACTTTCCGAACACGTTCGGTGCGTCATGAAGCGCGCAACTGACGCGGAGAAATTGTCGGTAGAATGTAAAACGAGCCGGTCGGCAATTTTCAGGAGGAAGGAACTTTACTGACGTCCTTCGCGAAGGTCTAGGTCACATCGTCGGGATCGTTTCTCGGATTTCGAACGGCGAGTTAGATCGACGACGGTAGAAATCATAGCCGAGTCTGTGTTTGCCAGAGCGATATTTTGCGACGATTAATCCGTTTCGTTATGCTCTGCGGCATTTGGTTGTACCTTTGTGTGTACAATGACCCCGAAGTTACGCGCGCACTCGCGCCCGATTGCGTGACGTTACGCGATTGGCTGTTAAACGCGTGATTACAAACCTCGCCGGCACATATAGCAGAAGTATATATTGCGTTTCGAAGCGCTTCGAGGAAACCGGGAGATCTCTCTCTCCTCGTGCGTTTCTTCGCGCGTTGCGATCTCTCGCTCTCTCTCTCGCATGGCGGAACGCTTGGAACTGCCAGTCTCCGGCCGCTGGAGCGAGGATGATGAAGAAAAGGGCGCAAAAATCGCGAGAAACGACGGACGAAGATGCGTCTAATGGGAAATATCCGCGGGAAGAACGCGGAGGGAAACCTCTCCGGGACTCTCTCTCTCTCTCTCTCTTGCGCGCGATTCTCTGAGAGGAGATCCTAAAGGATGTGATTTTTCTGTCTAATTCGACGCTCTCTCGAATTAGACAAAAGCGCGCGCGCGATAACAATGTAATATTTGCAGATTTATGTATATGTGAATGGGGAGTCGTTGTGAAAATAAAAGTGAAATGTGTTTCTACGACGACGAAATGTATCATTGAGCACACATACACACACACACGCACACAAATCCCTCCTCGATTTCCGTTAACAACACATTAAAGCAAGATCATTTAGCCTGCGGCAAATGATGCGTGTAAGACATTTTTTTAAAATCTCAATAAATATTAATGTAATATAGTTTTTTATAGTTTGATAACAATAAAAGAAACAATAATATTTTTATATCTCAAGCGCTAGTAATAAATAATATTTGTTATGTCAAATTAAATGTTGAAATTTTAATATCATTATTTTAGCATTAGGATTATTTATTCTTATGCGGCGAATGATGCGTGTGGAGAATCTTCTTTTAATTTTCTTTCTCTCTCTCTCTCTCTCTCTCTCTCTCTCATTTTCCAGCTGTGCATGTTCGTCATTATTCACTTCGACCGGTTCACTCACGATCGCGAACGTAGAAAAATTGCAGCTAAATACACCGCGGCCGCCTCTTTTGACTTTAAGGAATAATAACGCAAAACGATCGTCGGCGCTCGCGCCGGCTATTGGTCATTAATGTTTTACGAGCAGTACGTAGAGTGCGCACAGCTGCGTCTATTCAATTATAGCAAAGAGAGGGGTCCAGACACAGCAGGCACATGCCTCTCCCGTCTCCGTGCCGTACGGCTCATCCCCCGCTTACACCCCCGCCGCGTCTCCCTGTTTCCTCTTTATTTCTCTTTCGAGCACGGCCACGCGCATTTACGTCCATTAATATTAACGGCTCAAAACAACGATAATGACGGGGAGCTACAGGGAAGCGGAGAGGTGTTCTCTTCGGCGGTCACGTCGTGCTCCGCGAGTCGAGGAGCCTATCCTCCCCGTGTCGCTCACGTGACCGTTGCCATGCATCACTGTTGCCGCGGAGATCGACAATGCCGGGAAAACGGCTACGACGATTTTCACGCTTACGTACGTAGGTAAGTTCACGCTTGAGATCGGCTTGAAGAGAGAAACTCGCGCTGCGTTACGTCGCAACAAAAATCTCACAAGCGGGAACTGTGAAAGCTTTTGCTTCGGAGAAGGCTTTTTGTTACTTGGAGAATAGTGTAACGTTGATTTTTTACAAGCTTTGACAACGGTTTTGTCACGTCGAAAGCACACGAGTGCCGCCGATCGCTGAATTCAATTGACATTGAGCCACCTGCCGAGCATTGATGAACGATGATCATTACAAAATACACATTGCGCACTGTTGTCGGCGATTCAAATCCCACTTCAAATCCCACACACGCACATTCAGATTTAATCAGACTTATACACATCGCGGAGAGAAGTTTGTTATCTAGAAAAAAAAAAAAAATACACAATACAATAACCGCAATAAATCTCTTTTATTAGCAAGAGATTACAAAGCAGGCAGCTCCGCATTTACGCCATTTGTTCTCTTAAACATTTTTTGAAATTTTTCCGAACAATCGAGTATAAAATATCGATCAGAATCGATTGGACTAAATAACACGCAATTTTCATTGCGGAGTAACAATGCGAGCGAAAGTTCAATACGTATCTCGTTACCGAGATAGAAAATTCGCACTGTGCAAAATACAACGCGCGAGACTATAAAGATGTAGGTTAACGTGATGCGGGAACGGATTAAAAAATGCGATAGAGAGCGGCCGTCTCATGTCTCAAAGGCGCTATTATTATCGTAATTATTAGTATCGCGCCGTTCCGTATCCTGGGCAAATACTGCACACACGGCCGGTGAGGACGTTGAGCGCGGTCGCAGATCGATCGGGACAGCGCGAGTCTCGCTATCGAGATCTGACAATCTCGGTTCACGGGTGCATATTTCAAGATCGGCATGCGTGAACGGTTTCAGGGCCGTCGGGTTGTTTTTGCGGTCGTGTATAAACTCCGGGTGTACAACGCTAATGCGACGGACGCGAGGTGTCGTATTTCGCGAACCCGGGGTCGAACCGAATCGAAGAAACATGTTTTAATATGCAAATTAAAATGCAAATATAATGTGCGATTCCCTTCCTCGTCCTCTCCCTCAATCTCCCGTCTACCGTTTCTTCCTCTAGGCGTATCTCGCGCGATCGTCATCCCTCATTCTGCGGCCTGGAGCGAAGGCGCGACCACGAGACAAGTTTATTTTTTGTCGCTCCATCTGCAGGATTCTATTCTATTTCTTTGTTCTTTATTTATATCCGACGTGCGGTCGTAGCTGCGACGCGAGGTCTCAGGTCCGAAAGACAGTTCGCGCTTTTTTCGACGAGATATCGCCATCGATCACTGAATTACAATCCACTTATCTTTGTTTCACAATTCGTTTTGATAAGAAGAAAAAAAAATATATATATATCCAGATATCTAATATTTCAATATGAGATTAAAACGTTGCAAAGCAAAATATTCAAGTCGAGGATTTTGCTAACAGCTATTTAGTTTGTATTTATATAACTGAGCCTCGATATATCGCGAGGATTAAGAGCTTAGCGCGGATTTGAAACGCACGAAGGATTAAATCTGTAACGCTCTGCGTGGCTATCAGCTCTCTCCTTCCCTCCTCCTCCTCCTTTGAACGACTATACAAAAGGATTATATGTAGAGTAGTCCGCGCATCGGACGGATCCCTGAGCTATCGTATGCGTAATGTCTTCATTCAGCCCGACTCCTATCATAATCTCCCGGTGATGAACGAGCGCCCTTTATGCGAGGACGCAGAACGGAGCGAGATTAAACGAAGAGTCATCAATAGGCCGGTCGCATTAAACGGCTTGCGTGTGCACGTCGGGAAAAATCGAAACGAGTCAATTAGTCGCACTCTGCCTGTCCAATCTGTCACAATATACAAAACTCCGTGTTCTTCTCTCTTTTCTCTCGCGCCGTTCCTCATTCCCCTCCTCCTCCTCCTCCTCGCGTTATTCCGGATCGTGTGCCGCGGGCGAGATAACTCTCCGCTGCTGCTCTAGCCACACGGTTTTACGGCGCGGGTTAACAAATAGCGCGTCGCTGAATGTATCGCCGAGCCGCGCCGATGCTATCGCATCGACGCCGACAAAAATTAAGCGCCGCGATTACTCACGAACGTCCCCGTGCGAAACCCGAGGGCCCTCGCGCGCAACTGCTATTTCGGTAGTCGAGGTTTTGCGCAAGTACTGCGCAAAGCGCCCAAGTCCTTATAAGTGCAACGTCGCCGTGGACGACCGGCGATATATATCTGCCACGTATGATCGATGCACATCGAATAAAACCTGTGATCAAGGAAAGCGTCTCGCGCCAAGTTGGTATATCCGTTGGTACACTGCGTTATTAGAGGAGACGTGTGCAGCAGTCTTTACTTGAACAAGAATGTTTTTTTTAAGAAATTATGATATCCCTTACAAAGATTCCTTTTTGATAAGAGATGTGTATTTATTAACGCAAGATATTTTGTTAGAGTTTAATTGTAGAGAGGAAAAGAAGAAAGAATTACCGAAGTAAAAACTTTCAAAGTTTTACGATCCACACAGGTACGTGGAGCTTTTTTTTTTTATCTGAAGATACGCGCGATGAGCGCGCAGAAATATTCCATTACGCGTCACGACGTGTTATTGAGAATTTTAGCATTTTCGACAGCACGATGCCGTGTCATGATGCGCGTTCGGTGTTAGTTGCACAATTACAAGCTATCTGCTGGTCGAGCTGATCTCGTGACGCGTGCCGCTAGATGCATGTCTCGTGACATAATCGGCCGCAACGTCGGAGAAACGGATCGCCCGTGATCGGCTGACAGACGCAGAATGCAGCAGTCCGGACAGTTGTGCGTCTCGCGGCAGTGTGTTGGAACCTCCGTTAGGCTACGACGACGACGACGACGACGACGACGAGGACGAGAGACGTAGGGTATTCGCTATCGTGTCATGCCCGGCGCTGTCCAATGCATACTAAGTAGTTCTAGAAAATCAGTTGTTGGTAGCTCGTAGCGCCGAGCCGAGGAATTGAATGAATCAGCCTATCTCGGCTGGCCTTGCAGCCAGTTCGAGTGCACATATGTGTACATATATGCGTGCGGTACGTGCGCGCACTCGTCGCCGGTAAAACGCGCGCTATAGCACGTTGCAACTAACGCGAACCTGGTGTACGTAATGAATTTTTGAAACGCTCGTGCGTGCACGCACAAATTCATTGCAAACAAGATTCGTGAAAAATATATCACAGTTTTTTCTCGAGCCCATTTTTTTTAGAAGAAAACAATTTTTTAACAAAATTCTTATCTCTAAGTAATATGTTTAAAAAAATTGGAGTGAAGTAGTAACAAGTTTCACGCGCGCGCGCACACACACACACACACACACACACACGTGTGACAGTATAGTTTTGTTGTTAAAATTCACGCGATTGCGTACAGTTGCATTATTGCGAGTTCGTAATGGGAGGGATTCTGAGGGAGATAAAATGCAACAAGAGGAGAAGAAGAAGGTTGCGGTGGAAGTGAGGGAAGAGAGGGAACGAAGGAGAGAGAAGAGAAGAAGAGAGTACGTTGGCGTCGCCTGGAATGCCCGCGGACCACGAACGATGCCGATACGACGGGTTTACCTTTTACAGCTTACCTACTGGTCGTTTCACTCCGACTGCACCTTCAACGAACGTTTTCTCTCCGCGCGTTATATATCTCCTCATCCCTCTTCGTTGCGTCTCGTCGCTTTCACTGTCACAAAAATGAATCGCCTCTTCGCAATGCGCACGCAACTTCGATACCTTACGTACTTCGATTAATTTAATTATTGGCCGCCACCTGCTGTCAATATATAAGGAAGAGACTTAATTACGGAGAATTTATATTAAGGGGATGTAATATCTTCGCTTCTCGACGACCTGTGAGATAAACTATATATTGCTTCGCGGAGATCGTTGCGCTCGTGTTAATTCAATCTTACTCGCAACGGATTACTCGCAATTAAGTAGTAAATTCTAAGGATGTGTTCATGTATACGCGTTCATTATTTAAGAGACACATTTTCCGCTTCGCTTTTTTGATATTTACGTTTAAAAAAAAAAAACTGAAAAACACGACGTGCTATTTTATAGCAATAAAACTGCGAAAAAGAAGAATTTAATTTAAAAAATAAAACACACACGCACAGATATTTTATATAAAAATTCGAATTGAAGACAAAATTTTATCTTCGGAGCAGACTACAGATTTTATTACGTCTGATATTTCACGTTCT